CTCCCTCCCCCCACTCCCCTCCCCCACTCCACCTCCTCCTCCTCCTTCTTCTTCTTCTTTCTTCTTCGATTCATTGGAGAGAAGAGTCTCATGGACTTTCCTGCCAGGGCTGGCTTGGAGCTGTGATCCTCAGATCTCAGCCTCCTGAGTAGCTAGGATGACAGGCGTGAACCACCAGCAGCCGGCTTCCAGCCTATATATATATATATTGTGTGTGTGTGGAGTGGGGGGGTCTGGTCATGGGGCCTGAACTCTGGGCATGGGCGCTGTCCCTTAGATCTTCAGTTCATTCGTACTGACTCCAAGCTATGATCTGTTAGGGTGGTGAGATTAAAGGATATGAGACCCAGGGTGTGTGTGTGTGCGCGCGCGCGCGCGTGTGTGTGTGGGTGTGCGTGTGTGTGCGTGTCTGTTAGGGTGGTGAGATTATAAGGATATGAGACCCACGGGGTGTGTGTGTGTGTGTGTGTGTGTGTGTGTGTGTCTGTTAGGGTGGTGAGATTAAAGGATATGAGACCCAGGGTGTGTGTGTGTGTGTGTGTGTGTGTGTGTGTGTGTGTGTGTGTGTGTGTGTGTGTGCGTGCGCGTGCGTGTGTGTGCGTGTCTGTTAGGGTGGTGAGATTAAAGGATATGAGACCCAGGGGGTGTGTGTGTGTGTGTGTGTGTGTGTGTGTGGGTCTGTTAGAGTATATGAGTTAAAGGGTGTGTGTGTGTGTGTGTGTGTGTGTGTGTGCGTGCGCGTGCGTGTGTGTGCGTGTCTGTTAGGGTGGTGAGATTAAAGGATATGAGACCCGGGGTGTGTGTGTGTGTGTGTGTGTGTCTGTTAGGATGGTGAGATTAAAGGATATGAGACCCGGGGTGTGTGTGTGTGTGTGTGTGTTTGTGTGTGTGTCTGTTAGGGTGGTGAGATTAAAGGATATGAGACCCAGGGTGTGTGTGTATGTGTGTGTGTGTGTGTGTGTAGTGTGTAGTGTGTAGAGAGAGAGTCTGTGTGTGTGTGTGTGTGTGTGTGTGTAGTGTGTAGAGAGAGAGTCTGTCAATCCTAGGGCTTGAATTTAGGATTTGGGTGCTGTCCCTGAGCATGTTTTTCAAAGTTAGCACTCTACCCACTTGAGTTTCACTTCCAGCTTTTTGTTGGGTCATTGGAGAGACCTTGTGTGTGTGTGTGTGTGTGTGTGTGTTAGGCTGGAGGATATCAGACCGTGTGTGAGTGTGTGTGAGACAGATAGAGACAGAGTGAGAGAGAGAGAGAGTGAGAGAGAGTCTGTCAGTCTGTCCTAGGGCTTGAATTTAGGATTTGGGTGCTGTCCCTGAGCATGTTTTTTCAAAGCTAGCACTCTACCCACTTGAGTTTCACTTCCAGCTTTTTGTTGGGTCATTGGAGATCAGTCTCTTGGATTTTCCTGACTTGGGCTGGCTTCAAATGGTGATTCTCAGATCTCAGCCTCCTTCTGAGTAGCTAGGATAACAAGCTTGTGCCACTGACACCGGCTGATGCTGTTTCTTTTCTTTCTTTCTTTTTGCCAGTCTTGGGGCTTGAACTCAGGGCCTGAATGCTGTCCCTGGGAGCTACTTTGTATTCAAGGCTAGCACTCTACCACTTGAGCTCGAGGTCACTTCTAGTTTTTGAGTGGTTCATTGGGGATAAGAGTTTCAAGGGGGACTTTTCTGCCTGGGCTAGCTTTGATCTGGGATTCTCAGATCTCAGCCTCCTGAGTAGCTCAGATTACAGACCTGAGCCACCATAGCCCAGCTTTTTTTTTTTGTTTGTTTGTTTTTTTTTTAATTTGTTGGGAGATCCAAGTCTCACAGATTTTTTTGCCCAGGGCTGGCTTTGAATCAAGATCCTCAGATCTCAGCTGTGGTGCTGCAGTACATTGTACCTTAAATCAGATAGAAAAGCAGCCATGAGAAAATAGAGAACCCACATTCTGAGTGTTGGAATGCTGGAGTCTTTAATGTAGCACTCTATAGAAGGCCAATTACAAAGATCTGCAGCCCCTAACATAGCGTGCTCCAAGCTTTTAAATATAAAGGCTACTTGTTTGGTGGAGACCAAGCTTTAGCAAAGCATTGATGCATAAACACCACCCGTGGAGCTGGGCATCTACAATTCAAAGGATGATTTATCTCACCTTTAGTCCTAGGAGCTTGGTAGATTAGCCCCTTATCTCCTGGCCAGGCTCCTGGATATCTGTTAAACCAACAGCCCCCAGCACGGGGTGGGGGTGGGGGGATAGCTGTGACTCAGTTTCCCCATTAGTTTGAGTCACGAGGCTGATGGGAGCCCTTGGCACCCAGTTAAGGCTGTGTCTTTAAGAGAGAGGCTGCTGGTCTTGTGTGTGTGTGTGTTCGTGTGTTTGTCCTTCCTGCCTCTGACGTCAGACGTGGGCAGGACCCAAGGAGAGATTAGCTTTCCTTTTCTCTGAAAGGGGTGGAGATTGTGACTGGGGCTTCTGATGGGAAGAGGGGAAGTCTGGGGGGTGCCAGAGGTTCCTGGGTGAAGGTGGAGGCTGAGATGGGGTAAGAAAGGGGAAGTGGGTGGAGGAAAAGGGGGAGGCTGGAGAGTTGGTGATGCATGTTCTATGGAGAAGCTAGCGAGAGCTTGCTTCAGAGCTGGGCCTGGCCCAGCTTCTAGTCACTGAATCTGTCTTTCCGATCTCTTAGGCCAGTGACTCTTTAGTCCTATGGTTCTGTTGTGAACCTACTGGGAGGTGTTAGGTCCTGTTTGGGGGGGGAGCTTGCTGTGTGCTTTTGATCGTGGACTTTGAGGTAGCCTTCAAGTCTGTCCTTTGGTTGGGGATGGGGGTGAGGGGCGGCTGGTGAGCTACTGAGAGCTAGAAGCCCTGTTTTTTTTTTGAGGGGGTAGTGGGGTGGGGTGAGGCAGACATCTATTCTGACCCCAACAGCTAACAAGTCTCCTAAAGGAGACTTTCTTTTTAGGGGGGGAATGGTGGTATCAGTACTGGGGCCTTGAACTCAGGGCCTGAACTCTGTCCCTTAGCTTTTTTTTTTTTTCTTTTGTCGGTCGTGGGGCTTGAACTCTGGGCTTAGGCGCTGTCCCTGCGCTCTTCAGCTCAAGGTGAGCGCTCTACCGCTTGAGCCACAGCACCACTTCCGGTTTTCTAGTGGTTAATTGGAGATAGGAGTCTCACGGAGCTTTCTGCCCAGGCTGGCTTTGAACTGTGATCCTTAGATCTCAACCTCCTGAGTAGCTGGGATTATAGTCATGAACTACCAGCCACCCCCAAACAAATCCATTTTCTTTCTTTTCTTCCCCTACCCACCCTCCCCTGCTTGTCTTGGAGCTTGAACTCAGGGCCTGGGCACTGTCTGTCCCTTGAACTTTTGGCTCAAGGTTTGCCTGGTGACAGTGGTTCACACGTGTCATCCTACTTAGGAAGCTGAGATCTGAGGATCACTGTTTCAAGCCAGCCCATGCTGAAAAGTCCCTCAGACTCTTATCTCCAATGAACCACTCAAAAACCGTAAGTGGAGCTGTGGCTCAAAGTAGTAGATTCCAAGCCTTAAGCAAAAGCGATCAGGGACAGTGCTCAGGCTCTGAGTTCGAGTTCCATGAATGCGAGGGAGAAATAAAAAGGCTAGCATCTAGCATTCTACCTCTTGAGTCACAGTTCCACTTCCAGCTTTATTTTTGGAGGGCTCATTGGAGATAAAAGGCTCTCAAGACTTTCCTTCCTTGGGCTGGCATTGAACTATGATTCTCAGATCTCAGTCTCTTGTGTGTGTGTGTCGGTTGTAGGGCTTGAACTCTGGGCCTGGGCCCTGTCCCTGAGCTCTTCAGCTCAAGGCTAGTGCTCTACCATTTGCCACAGTGCCACTCCCGGCTTTTTTTGTTTATATGGTGCTGAGGAATCGAACCCAGGGCCTCATGCATGCTCTACCACTGAGCCACCTTCCCAGCCCTTTTGAGTAGCTTTGATTACAGGCGTGAGCTACCAAAACTCCGTATTGAGGACCAGAGGGGCCCCCCGGGGTGCAGTTGTAGGATGGACTACTGGGTCCCCCCCAAGCCCTGAGTCATGACTGGGTCTTTGGCAGGTTTGGAGCGACGATTGCCATTGGCCTGACCATCTTGGTACTGTTTGTGGTCACCATTATTGTCTGCTTCACCTGCTCCTGCTGCTGTTTGTATAAGATGTGTCGGCGACCCCGTCGTAAGTAGCCCCCCTCCTCCCCCAATCCCCACTCCTGGTTCTACTTTGTGCCTCCTTTATGTGCAGGTAACCCCCTCCCCACTATACACCTAGGCCTAGGCACTGCCCCTGAGTTGCTTTTGCTCAAGGCTTAGCGCTCTACCACCTGAGACACAGTGCCACTTCTGGCTTTTTTTCTGTGATTCATTGGAGAGAAGAGGCTCTTGGAACTTTCCTGCCTGGGTTGGCTGTAAACTGTGATTGATCTTCAGCTCTCAGCCTCCTGAGTAGCTGGGATTATAGGCATGCGTCACTAGAGCTGGTCTACTAGCAGGTCTTGATTGGAATTCTTTCTCCACAGCCATCGTGACTACCACCACAGCAACCACGGTGGTGCATGCTCCGTACCCTCAGCCCCCAAATGTGCCTCCTAGCTACCCAGGACCCACATACCAAGGCTACCAGCCTATGCCACCCCAGCCAACAGCACCTTACCCAGCACAGTATCCACCCCCCTACCCAGCCCAGCCTATGGGCCCACCGGCCTACCACGAGACCTTGGCTGGTAAGTACTTCTGTGAATCTATGGTGCCCCTCTCCCCTTGCTGACCCTCACCCCCTCAGGCCTCTGCCTGCCCTGTCCCTCAGGGAATCCATCTTACGGTACCTCATTGAATAGGCCTCTGTCTTCTTCTGCTAGCCTGCCCACCCTGCCCTCCACCAATCAGTGTTCTCTCTGCTTTCAGGAGGTGCAGCCGTGCCCTATCCTACCAGCCAGCCTCCTTACAACCCAGCCTACATGGACCCCCCAAAGGCAGCCCCCTGATCATTCCCCTCCCGTTTCTGGCTGCCACTCAATGATCATCATGCTGCGCAGGTGTATGTGTGTGAGTGCGTGGTATACGCAGGTTCCCCATTGGCCTGTGTGAGATGTGAGCCCTGTCTAGATTGGTGGCTTCTTCTGATGCTCACTAGGTGCGGACCAATCCTTGCCCGAATAGGGCAGGACCAAACTTTTTATTATTTTTTTTATTATTATTTTTTCTTCTTTTCTACTTGAAATGAATGCTTTCCTGCAATCACAAGCAAATTCAGAGATTGGGGGGTACTGGAAGGTATTTTCAAACTCACCCCAGAGTGACCAGGATAGCACAGTTTTCTTTTTGTGAGTACTTTTGCACATATCCTGGTTTGAAGAGTGGCCTGTTGCTACTTGAGGCCAATATTCCGCCCCCCCCCAGGATTTGGGGTGCTCTTTGTTAAATCTGAGCCATGAGGCAGGCAGGTAGGGAAAGTTGAAGCTCAATGCTTTAGGCAAATGTCCCCTTATGCCCAAAAGCCTGGATCATGCTTAAATGGGGGTCAGCTAGTTCCTTATGTCAAAAACCTCCGGCCAGGGGTCCACCCAACCCAGATGGCTGTCTCTTTGGATTGTCCCTGTGTCCTCTCTGGGTCATAGTCCTGGCCTCAGGGAAGTTTGCTTGCCTGACCTCTGCTATAGGTGAGCAATAGGAGCTATAACCACCAACACACTCAGCTTTCTACCCTGCAGTGTTGTTTTTACTTTTAGCCAAACATTTTTGCCTGGTTTTTTTTTTTTTTTTTTTGCTTCTTTTTTGGTCATGGGGCTTGAACTCTGGGCCTGGGCGCTGTCCCTCAGCTCTTCAGCTCAAGGCTAAGCGCTCTACCACTTGAGCCACAGCACCACTTCTGGTTTTCTAGTGATTTCATTGAAGAGAAGAGTCTCAAGGACTTTCTTGCCCGGGCTGGATGCTCAGATCTCAGCCTCCTGAGTAGCTAGGATGACAGGTGTGAGCCAGCAGTGTCTGGCCTTGTTTTCTGTTTTTAAAATGTATGGATCATTGGGCTGGGAAGGTGGCTTAGTGGTAGAGTGCTTGCCTAGCATGCATGAAGCCCTGGATTCCATTCCTCAGTACCACACACACAGAAAAGGCCGGAAGTGCGGCTGTGGCTCTAGTGGTAGTGTCAGCCTTGAGCACAAAAGTTCAGGGACAGCACCTAAACCCTGAGTTCAAGCCCCAAGCCTGACACAAAACAAAGCATCCAACTCCTGTCTTACAGCCTAGAGATTGTCCTAGGGACAACAGAGTTCAAGGACTGTCTTGACTCTAGGCAGGGGTGCAGGGCCTGGGTAGAAGCTCTGGCCCAGGCACCATGAATACCTCGGTGATTCCTGTCCTGAAAAATGTCTCACCAGCTGTCTTAGCTTTGTATCGTTCATGTGTTTCCGACAGTCTAGATTCTTGCATCCTGGTTTATAAATAAACGCAATCGTTTTTGGAACTGCTGTCCCTTTTCTTCAGAGCCCTGGCTGCGGGGTCGGGGTCTTTGGCTGAGTAGTTTGCGTGTGGACGGTTTGGATTTCTTGGCTTTTCTCCTCGTCTTGGGCTGAGAGCTTTGCTCTTCCGCTTGCAGAGCGAGAAGAGATGATAAATACCGTGAAAAACCTAAGACGCTTGGAGCTGGGAAGGTGGCTTAGTGGTAAAGTACTCGCCCAGCATGCATGAAGCCCCGGGTTCGATCCCTCTATCACATACACAGAAAAGGCCAGATGTGGCATCGTGGCCTCAAGTGGTAAGGGTGCTAGCCTTGAGTGAAAGTAATTCAGGGACAGTGCCCAGGCCCTGAGTTCAAGCCCCAGCCCTGGCAAAAACAAAACCAAACCCAAAACCCTGAATAGGAGAGTGTGTGGTGGGGTAAAGGCCCAGACTAGGAGGAAAGGCAAGTAGACTATTCAGTGCTGTTTTGAGAGTCTCTTTTTATTCATCAGCTTTTTCTTCTTGGCCTATTGCTCTGGAGTGGCTCGGGTAAGCCCATACAGTGTGGCCACTGCCAAGGTCAAGAAGGCTAACAGGCCCAAGGGAACCAACAGTCCCTCTTCCAATGTGTCTCCAGAGACCTTGATTGGAGGAAGAACTTTGGGTCTCTTATTCCTGCTAGGACTGCTGTTTCCGGTTTTGGCCAGTGGCTCAGTGGCTGATCTAGCAGATTGACTTAGCTGAATCTCATACATGGGCTTGATGGTGCCAAAGGGTCTCGAGTGAGTATCCACCCATTGCAGCAGGGCCTGTGGCTTCCACTGGCAGATACTAAGCAGGGTTAGCACATCGCCCTCGGCCATGTGGGAGTCTGTCGGGGCCTGTCCATACAGGCGGGTGTAGATGCTGCCCAGGCTGTAACTCTTCCTCGGGCCACGCTCTGCGGGGCTGCTAGCTTGTTCCAAGGCCTTCATGGCAGCCATACTGTCCACACAGAAAGCGCCGTCTAGAGCATCAGCCACGCCCAGCATAGCCAGCTCTGCTTGGAGTAGAGGAAAGTCGTAGCGATCACCATTGTGCGCCACAAAGCACCAGGGCTGTGGCTGGCGCCGCAGGAAAGCTAGCAGCAAGGTGGCCAGGTTGTCATCGAAGCGCTGTCGTCCGTGTGCTGCCAGATCAGCGGTGGTCAGGCCGGTGATCTCACTGGCACCTGGGCTACAGGCCTTTCCTGGAGCCACACACAGGGAGAGTTTGTCCACCACGCGGGGGAACGGGGGTGGCTGTCCCCTGGAAGTAGGGGTGCTCTCCAGGGCCCTTCTGTGGACAGCCAGCATGCACAGCTCTGTGATCTTGGGCTGGGAGAAAGGCAGGCCAGTAGCTTCCAGGTCTAAGAAGATGAGGGTCTGCATGGGGCCAGGGCGGGAAGCCTGCCTGTCCATGATGAACCTAAGGCCAGAGTGGTGGGGAGGGGGTGTGAACATGAATGCCAATGGGATGATCAAAAGCGGGGACTGGGAATGTGGCTTAGTTGGGAGAGTGTTTGCCTCGCATGCATGAAGCCCTGGGTTCGATTCCTTAGTACCATCTATGTAGCAAAAGCCAGATCCCCAAGCTCCTGTGCCCAGGCTAAGGACCGGAAGTGGGAGAAGAGTGGGGGTAGTTTTCATAAAGGGACAAGCATTCTCCCATGTGGGGGGGGGGGAGGCTCCCGCCTTTCCCTAGGGGTTCGGCCCCTCCACTAGTGCCCACCGAGACCAGGGTAGGGGAGCCCATGGCCTTTCTGTCCTGCTCTACTTCTCAGGGGGTGTTCCAACTTACCCAAGCAGGCCAGATAGCAATGACTGGATCCACTCCGGCGTCGTCCCTCTACTGACAGCAGTGGCAGGAAATGAAACTGACTGGCCAGCCTCTACAGCGAGGCCCCGCCCTCCTGCCCGGATGCCCCTCCCTCCCCTCCCATCTGCCGCCAGGCCACCCCCTCTCCCACACCCCTGGCTAGCATGATTAGCCACGTGGGGTTCTGCGGCCTGTGGGAGTCCATGGGGGGGGGGATGGGAATTTGTTTCCCGAGAGACAGGGGGCTGCTGGGTGCTTTTGATGGTGTTGAGTTCCCGGCTTTCAGGTTTTGAGGCTGAAGGCCGGCTCATTCCTTGCCTCCAGCACAAAGCTTTCTTCCCAGTGGCTCCAACCCAAAGTTATGACTCAGGACAATTCCAGAGGCAGGGCAGGGCTAGCCTTCCGGGCTGATCAGTCGCTATGGTGACAGATTTAGCTCAGCCAAGAGAAGTTGGTGGGGGGGGGGGGGGGGGAGAAGCACTCAGGCCTCAGTGGGATCTCATCTTGTTCTATTCCTTCCGGGTAGGCCCAAACAGATCAGACTGAGACAAGGCTGGGTTTACAGCAGGAATTGGTCACAGCTTTTAATAGGGAAGGGGTGGGGGTGGGGGGAGGGCAGGGAGGAAGTGAAGAGAGCCGACGCACTGATGCCCCCGTGTGGCAGGATGCACGGCCCCTCAGGCACAATCCATCTCCATGTCCTCCATGTCTGCCTCAGTAGCACAGAGGTCATCCAGGGCTGCCTCTGAGTGGGGGGGAAAAAAAGGGGGGAGACCCCAAGGTGCTGGAGCCTAGAGGACGTCCCACCTCGCCGCCCCCAGCACCCACAGGAAGTGACTAGTCCCATGTCCTGGCCTGGCTCCCTCAGCTACTTCCTGCGAGCAAAGTCATCACAAAAGCACTGCAGATCCAGATGTTTCTAGAAAACCCGTGGCTCCGCCAGGCCAACTCAATAGACAGGACTGGACGGCAGCCCAGTGTGTTCAGAGAACCTGAGTGGAATGATCGTGTCCCCATGATTGTGACCCTGGTGGCAGGCTGATGCTAAGGTCCGGAAGTCTGACTGGCTCTGAGCTTTGGTGGCAGCAAGGGGGAATCCCTGGCTGGCTTTACCTTCACAGTCGGTGACATCCGGAAGGGCTCGGATAAGCGTGCTGACCCCTGGCATCACTTGGTCATACTGATGCAGGACCTCCACGCAGTGCACAGAAAACAGCTTGTCCTTCTGGGACAGGCTGTGTAGCAGCAACACAGCGTCCCGGAGACAGCGCACGGTCCGCTTCTGCTGGTTAGTCTTGAAGGCTGCCCCCGTCCTCCGCACGGTCAGCCACTGTCGGTGCAGCACCACCGTCAGAGCTCTGACCACCTGAGGGGGACAGGACATGGTGGTTCATTAGGGGGGGGGCCCTTCGGCACCCACAGAGCTGCCACTATGGGGGTCTGTGGCTACTTACCTCCACACTGCATTGACAGTCAGACCCAGTAAAAGGGGAGCAAGAGGTCTGCATACCCAGCTTGGCCAAGAGCCAGACTGTCTGGAAGGAGAACAGATCATGTTTGATCAAACCCCCAGTATTTTCTCAGGCTTTCTGCACCAATAGGGTCCCGAGAAGTGGTCACGTGACTCGGAACCAGCACAAACCTTACTTATGACATCCACCTCTAGCCATGAGGGACCCTCCCGCGCCCCTTCTCCCCCCCCCCACAAAAAAAAAGCCAGGACAGAACTAGATGTCCAATGCTAAGTCACAAGACAATCTTGGACTTGCATCTGTGGGGGGGGAACCCCCCCACCCCAACTTTCAGCTCTGTAGCTGCTTGGTTAATTCATATTAGATCTCCTCCCAGCCCCATTCTCCTCCAGAGAGAGAAGAGAAAGACGCGTTCTGAAGAAACAGTATACAAGTATCTTGAATGTGTTGGATTTGGGTTTGTGCCAGACCTTGGATTTGAACTTAGGATCTGGCTGCTGGCCCTGAGCTTTTTTTTTTTTTCCCCTCAAGGCTAGCACTCTAGAACTTAAGCCATACCTTCATTGCTGTTTTCAGTTTGTTTTTGGTGATAAGTCTCACACTTTCTTGCCCAGGGTAACTACCAACTGTGATCTTCCCATCACAGCCTCTTGAGTAGCTAGAATTACAGGTGTGAGCATCTGGACCTCACTATTAGATATTTTTACTTTTTTCTTTTTTTTTAAACCAGTACTGGGGCTTGAACTCAGGGCCTGGGCACTGTCCCTGAGCTTCTTTTTGCTCCAGGCTAGCTCTTTAGCACCACTAACAGCTTTTTCTGTTTTTGTGGTACTGAGGAATCGAACCCAGGGCCTCATGCATGCTAGGCGAGCACTCTTCCACTGAGCCACCTTCCCAGCCCCTATTTTTACCTCTTGTTCCAACTGAAGCCACTGTGTCTGTGAGGCAGCTTTGTCAGGCTTTGAGGTAATGTATGAGTACAGTAGCAGTAGAAGACAGCGGTCTGAAAAGGACAGCACCCCCGTAAGCAGCGTCCCTCTTCCAATCCAAAGCTTTGGGGTACAAGCTGCAGAGGCCCTGGGGAAGCTCTGAACCAGGTCCTGCTCCAGCCCTTTCCTCCCTCCCTCAGAAGAAACAGTCAAGAGGCCCAGATGATGATGATGATGATTAGCCAGTCCTGGGGCTTGAACTCAGGGCCTAGGCACTGTCCCTGAGCTTCTTTTGCTCAAGGCTAGCACCACTTCCAGCCTTTGCTGTGGATGTGGTACTGAAGGAGTCGAACCCAGGGCTTCATGCATGCTAGGCGAGCACTCTACCACTATGCTACACTCCCAGCAGATTATATTACCAGAATGGGAACAGAACTGTTGCACGAGGCCGTCACTGTCTGCAATCTGGGAGAGCAGCTCAACGGCCAGCAGCACACAAGGCAAAGGCGTCTGGGGGCTGAGGCAGGGTGGCAGCACTGGTAACACACATTGTAATCTGAAAGAGGCAAGAGAGGAGACAATCCCCAGATGGAGAGATTTGGCTCAGTCAGACCTGGGTTCAAATGCTGCTCTGATCACTGCCTGAAGCAATCTTGGGAATATGTGCAGGATGGCTGAGGTTTAAGAGATAACAAGACCCTCATTAGATCCTGCCACCATTGCAAAATAAGGTAACCTATTTTTTTGGGGGGGGGAGGGGGCGTGAACTCAGGACCTGGGCAGTATCTCTGAATCCCCCCCCCCCCTTTTTCCTCTACCTAGAACTCTACTATTTGAACCACAGCTCCACTTTTGCTTTTTAGTACTTTACTGAAAGTATGTCAAATGGACGGACTTTCCTGCTGGGACTGGCCTCAAACTAGGATCCTCAGATCTCAGCCTCCTGAGTAGCTAGGATGACAGGTGTGAGCCACCAGCACCAGTTAAGACCTTCTTTTTAAGTAAATTTTATGGGTAGGTCCCAAATAGAAAGTAAATGAATTCTAAATTATACTGCAGTGAATGCTGGTGATGAGGTAATATTGGCTCAAAAAAGCCCTCACCATGCTTAGATCTTCAAGGCCACACAGTAGGTCTACAGTTGGGCTGGTCAAAAGAGTCATAATCGGGCTGGGAAGGTGGCTCAGTGGTAGAGCACTTGCCTTGCATGCCTGAGGCCCTGGGTTCGATTCCTCAGCACCACATAAGCAAAAAGAAAAAAGCCGGAAGTGGTGCTGTGGCTCAAGTGGTAGAGCGCTAGCCTTGAGCTGAAGAGCTGAGGGACAGCACCCAAGCCCAGAGTTCAGTCCCCACGACCGGACCCCCCCCCAAAAAAAAGAGTCATAATCTCTGCATTCAGGAGAAGAAACAGGAGGATCCCCAAGTTTAAGACCAACCTGAGCTACATTGTGAGACCCTACTCAAAAAAACCAAACCAAATTCTAGGTGGGCAAAGACACACAGAAGAGATAGCAGGCTATTTTGACATATATATATGTGTATATATATATGTTTTTTTGGGGGGGAATTGATTTGTTTTGTTTTGCCAGTCCTGGGGCTTGAACTCAGGGCCTGGGCGCTGTCCCTGAGCTGCTTTTGCTCAAGGCTAGCACTTTACCACTTGAGCCACAGCACCACTTCCGGATTTTTCTGTGTATGGGGTACTGAGGAATTGAACCCAGGGCTTCATGCGTGCTGGGCAAACACTCTAGCACTATGCCACATTCCCAGCCCTCTAATACCTTTTGTAAGTTATATAATTATTACATAATTATTAATACCCAGGCATTACACCGCAAGGGATCAGGAGGATGCACATGTCTAATCCCTGCCTCTTATGCTACTTTGTACCTGGGTAAGCAATCAGAGGAAGCGTTTTCGGCTAATTTCACCAAAACCTTGAGACACTTGCTCAGGACACTGACTTGCAAGGAACCTGCTGGTGTGGAGGAGAAGGTCACCAGGTGGAGAAGGATCTTCAAGAGTGGGTGCTGTCCTGAGTGGTCGGCTGACCCCCTGGGGGCTGAGGTCATATCTGCACAGCTCAGTCTGTGAACCCAACTCCCGTTTCCTTCCCCCATTCCTGAGAGTAACAGACAGACGACGGCGCGGCTGTGGCACACGAGATGGTGGAGGATGCTCAGGGAGACCACACACAAGCCTTCCACGCTGCCCATCAAGTCCTCGGGGCTGGCCTCTCCACCCGAACTCCTTGCACAAGGGACACGTGTCGGAGAATCTCCAGGCACCCCGCTCCTCCTAGCCGCTGCTACATCCTGCAATGCCTGGCAGTGCAAAGTGAGGAAGAAATGCACCAGGGGCAGGAGGTAGATGGCGCCTGGCAGTTGGCAGAGTGGAAAGGCCCTTTGGCTTTCCTCGGCTGAGCTGTCATCTGGGGAGTCTTCGTTTCTGGCAATTAGATTCAATCCAGCGAAGGCTAGACTCTGGGCCTCTCTCAGGATAGAGGGAGAAAAGGACCCACTGGGGCCCCCAGGGGTCCTGAGGCCTGAGATCCTGGCCAGGGTACTGGTAATGAAAGAAAACAGAAAAAGGTCAAAGGCTGGCTGGGCAGGTGGCTCGGTGGTAGAGTGCTTGCTTTAGCATGCATGAAGCCCCAGGTTCGATTCCTCAGCACCACATTCACAGAAAAAAGTCGGAAGTGGCGTTGTGGCTCAAGTGGGAGAGGGAGCAAAAAGCAGCTCAGGGACAGTGTGTAGGCCCTGAGTTCAAGCCCCAGGACTGGCCAAAAAAAAGGTCAAAATCTCCAAACTGCCTGCCTGGCAAATTCTCCATTCACCTTTCACTCACTCCCTTCACTGCCCAACAGGTTAGGGAAATTAACCAGGAAACCTCCAGGAAACTCCTACCCAAACAAGCATTGATTGATTGATGGATTGATTGATTGGTTGGTTGATTGAATGTGCACATGCTGGGGCTTGAACTCAGGGCCTGGGCGCTGTCCCTGAGCTTTTGTGCTCAAGGCTAGCGCTCTACGACTTGAGCCACTATGCCACGTCCGGCTTTTTCTGTGTATGTGGTGCTGAGGAATCGAACCCAGGGCTTCATGCATGCTAGGCACGCATTCTACCACTAAGCCACCTTCCCAACCCCCAGACAAGCGTTTCAGGAGTCTGTCTTATGCTTACTTGCCAAGCCCTGGTGGCTTCATGAAGGTGCCAGTGGGAGTCTCTGAACAACTGCTCAAGAGGTAGCAAAGACCTAAGGAGGATCCTGGGACCAAAGGCTGCTTCAGGAGCAGGTTTATCAAAATGGAACCTGCAGAAAACAAGGTGATTCTAGAAGGTTCTGACATAGGAGATCTTTTCATTTTTCCCCTAGTTTTTGATTTTTTTTTTTTTTTTGAGACAGGGTCCTGTTATGTATCCCAGGCTGGCCTTGATCTTATTTGTAACTCTGGCTGGTCTTGAACTTGAGATCCTTCTGCCTTAGCCTCCTGAGTGCTGGGATTCCAGATATGCACCAATATACCTGGCTAAGGAAACCTTTTCTTTCTTTCTTTTTTTTCTCGGTTGTGAGGTCTGAACGCTGGGCCTGGGCGCTGTCCCTCAGCTCTTCAGCTCAAGGCCAGTGCTCTACCACTTGAGCCACAGCGCCACTTCTGGCCTTTTCTGCTTATGTGGTGCTGAGGAATCGAACTCAGGGCCTCATGCATGCAAGGCAAGCAATCTACCACTGAGCCACCTTCCCAGCCCCACAGCACCAATTCTGATTGTTCACTGGAGAGAAGAGTCTCATGGACTTTCCTGCCCCGGCTGGCTTTGAACCATGATGCTCAGATCTCAGCCTCCTGAGTAGCTAGAATTACAGGTGTGAACCACTGGCACCTGGCTTAAGGAGACCTTTTCTACAGTCTCAGAAGGAAAAAAAAGTGTAGGTTCTTCAGATGGCAGCTGTTTCCTAAGCTACTACTAAGTAGTAGCTTAGGTTAAGATGTCTAGGGTTGCAAAAGCTCTAGGATCTACCTTTGTATGTATATGTGTGTGTGTGTGTCAGTATAGGGACTTGAACTCAGGGCCCGGAGACTGTCCCTTAGCTTTTTCACTCAAGGCTGGAGCTCTACCACTTAAGCCACAACCATACTTTCAGCTTTTTGGGTTGTTAACTAGAGATAAGAATGTCACTGACTTTCCAAAATCTCAGCCTCCTGAGTAAGCTACAATTACAGGCATGAGCCACTGGAACCTTACTTCCTTTTTAAATTAGGTACTTTTTTTTTTTTTTAAATGGCCAGTCCTGGGGCATGGTGAACTCAGGGCCTGGACACTGTCCCTGAGCTTCTTTTGCTCAGGACTAGCACTCTACCATTTGAGCCACAGTGCCACTTCTGGCTTTTTCTGTTAATGTAGTACTTAGGAATCAACCCAGGGCTTCATGCATGCTCAGGGAAACATTCTACCACTAAGCCACCTTCCCAGCCCTAATTAGGGTATTTGTTTAGGGGTGGAGTCTCACTACATTGCCTGTTCTAGCTTCCTGGGCTCCAGTGATTCACCCATCTCTACTCCTGAGAAGTGGGGACTACAGTTGTAAAACACAATGCTCATGGGCTCTTTCCATTTTATAGTCTTCCATTCAATCAGACTCCTATTTGCCTGGATCCTGAATGACTGCCTGGACAGAAGTGGGGAGTGGGGGCTGGGGGGGTTGGGAAGGGTCCTCAGAGGTTAAGCATTTCTGCAGGGCAACTCTGCCCAACACAGAGGGCAAATGGGGAGCTATGCAGGCCCCTGCAGGGGGGAAAGCAGGGATTCTGCTACCTTGAATGTTTGATCTCTGCAACAAGCTGTCAGCAAGTCTTTCCTGCTGTGCTTCTAGCTTTATGGGGTCCATTCTCAGACCCTGGGTCTTATCTGAAACCAATAAAATGTAAATCAAGCTGAGCACAAAAGTACTCACTTATCAGATGCTTATAGGTAAGGTAATGACTTTCATAACACAGGTTTGTCTTCAACCTTGGATCAAAACCAGAGCCAAAAGCTCAAGATCCCTCACATCTTCATATTTGTGTGTGTGTGTGTGTCCTTAAACTCAGGGCTTGGGCACTGTCCCTGAGTTTCTGTGCTCAAGGCTAGCACTCTACCACTTTGAGCCACATCTCCACTTCCAGTTTTTAGTTTTGGTTTTGTAATTTATTGGAGGTAAGAGTCTCACAGACTTTCCTGTCTAGGCTGACTTTGAACCATGATCCTCAGATCTCAGCCTTCTGAGTAGCTAGGATGATGGGTGTGAGTCACTAACACCAGCTTTCTCTCACATCTTTTGCCTTTGTTCATGTAAGATAGAAATTCACAAAGAAAGAGAAAGAAGATTAAGCTGCTTGTCTTATTTCAAATGTAAAAAAAAAAAAAAAAAACAACAACCAGTAACCACTAACATTCTATATAGAGCTGAGCAGGTGCTAAACCCTATGGTGAAAGATTTACACAGGAGTTCATTTGTTTCAGAGCAGTGTTATCCTTAGCTGTTTTACATGGTGGGAAACTGAGGCACGGAGCTTAGGAAACTGGCCCAGTTCAGAGAAAGCTGGTAAGTTGGGACTCACATCTAGGCCGATGGGTTCTATTGCTTGGAGTTATTCAACACCAATAATGTGAGCCCAGTTTTCTCAAGAGTGGTTTTGCTGATCAATGATTTGAAAAGGTTGAGGGCAGGAAGAGTTGATATATGTAAATTATGTATTTATTTTTTATCAGTCCTGGGGCTTGAACTCAGGGCGTGGGCACTGTCCCTGAACTTCTTTTTGCTCAAGGCTAGCACTCTACCACTTGAGCCACAGCTCCACTCCCGGCCTTTTCTGGGTATATGGTACTGTAGAACTGAACCCAGGGCTTCATGCATGCTAGGTAAGCACTCTACCACTAAGCCACATTCTCAGCCCCCAAATTCTAAGATTAAATGAGCAGAGCACAATCTCACTGTGTAAACAACTACTGGTAGATGATCTTTCTAGAAGAAGTAAGTCCTCAGCCATGTGAATGAGTCACCTGGAAACAGATCCTCCAGCCGCCAGATTTCTAGGATTGCCCCATAAGCTGGGAACAGATAAGCTGTACCCCATTGACCCCTGTGACGACTGACCCATAGAAATGGGGAGAAAATAAATAAGGATGGTTGTTTTGAAGCCCCAACAATCTGTTACCTGGCAATCAATTAGTCTTGACTTACCCTGTCTGCTCACAGATTTGTATCTTTGCTCTGTTTGGCATTGATGAGGAATAGACATGTTGGCATTAAAAGACTCCTTTGTAGGAAAAGGTGTTCTTCCAAACTGTGGCGAACATGCTTCTGGCTTTACTACCACAGAAGGGTTTTTCCTAGGACTGGAACAAGTTAGCCATGAAATCCCAGTCAGAATTTGGCTAACCCCACTTAAAATATTGAGTTATAAAACTTCCAACAAAATTTGAACTTTTCATGTGTGAGTATGTTGACCCAAAGGATTTTATTCTTTTTTTTTTTGTCAGTCATGGGGCTTGAACTCTGGGCCTGGGGCGCTGTCCATCAACTCTTCAGCTCAAGGCAAGCACTCTACCACTTGAACCACAGCGCCACTTCTGGTTTTCTGGTGGTTTACTGGAAATAAGAGTCTGATGCCAAGCGCCAGTGGCTCACGTCTGTAATCCTAGCTACTCAGGAGGCTGAGATATGAAGATCACAGTTCAAAGCCAGCCCAGGCAGGAAAAGCCATGAGACTCTTATCTCAAGTGGTAGAGCACCAGCCTTGAGCTGAAGAGCTCAGGGACAGCGCCCAGGCCTAGAATTCAAGCCCCACAGCCAACAACAACAACAACAAAAGGCTCAGGGACATCGCCCTGGCCTTGAGTTCAAGCCCCACAACTGACACAAAAAGGAAAAAAAAATGTGCATGAGTACTTATTTAGCATGAATAAGAGCCTGGGTTCAAGCCCCACTATGAGAGAGAGATAATGTGTGAAAGTTAAGCAAGCTCCTTAGCACTAATGTCTTTAGAAGCCGATCTGATTTAGCCTCTGATCTGATTATACAACCCTGGGGCCTTCCATGTAATTGATATTTGAGGACAGACTTTCCTTAGCTCTTCTGACTTACCTGGCAAAAGAATTTCCATTTCACATCCTGACTGGGCTGGGAAGGTGGCCACTGGTAGAGTGCTTGCCTAGCGTGCATGAAGCCCTGGGTTTACTTCCTCAGTACCACATAAGCAGAAAAAGCCAAAAGTGCTACTGTGGCTCAAGTGGTAGAGTGCTAGCCTTTAGCAAAAAGAAGCTCAGGGACAGTGCCCAAGCTGAGTTTAAGCCCCAGGACTGGCAAAACAAACAAACAAACAAAACCACCCTGACCACTATGAGCCAAAAAGCCCTACCACAGTTCAGATATTAAGACTGACACCTGCAGTGCCAAATTGCTGAGGTAGAAGAATGCACAGCATAGCACAGACCATTAATAGGCTGAGCCTTTTTATATTTGGTTAGTCATGGGACTTGAACTCTGGGACTGGGTGATGTCTCTGAGCTCTTCAGCTCAGGGCTAGTGCTCTACCACTTGAGCCACAGGGCCACTTCCGGTTTTCTGGTGGTTTATTGGAGATAAGAGTCTCACAGACTTTTCCTGCCTGGGCTGGCTTTGAACCACGATCCTCAGATCTTAGCCTCCTGACTAGCTAGGATGACAGGTATGAGCCACTGGTGCCTGGCTTGGGTTAGAGCCATTTTATAGCAAGAGGAGGAGCTGTTAGAGAAAAATCTCAGGGAAGCCAATGAGCAGAAAATATGCTAAATAGGTCTGAAATACACTTATACTTAGGCAATAACCTGTTGTAATAAACAAATTACATAAAAATGTTAGGCTGATCTATCCCTAAAATTTGGCAATTATCGTTTCAGCTGTCTAGGCTGAAGGAATTATGTTTATTTATTTGTGTCAGTCCTGGGGCTTGAACTCAAGGCCTGATCACTGTCCCTGGGCTTCTTTTGCTCAAGGCTTGCACTCAGCTACTTCTGGCCTTTTCTATTTATGTGGTACTAGGGAATGGAACCCAGGGCTTCATGCATGCTAGGCGAGCACTCTACCACTAAGCTACATTCCCAGCCCCTTAAATTTCTTTCTTTTTATTGTCGGTTGTGGGGCTTGAACTCTGGGCCTGGGTGCTGTCCCTCAGCTCTTCATCTCAATGCTAGCACTCTACCACTTGAGCCACTGGTGCCCAGCAAAGCAGATAGTACTTTTAGAGAACTTTGGCCTCATCCAAACAATCTTGGAATCTGTATAAAGAAAAACTCTATCCAGGTGGTAGAGTCTAGATGGCTTTCATTGAAGACCAGCCTGACAAGCGTTATTATGCAGACTTTTTTTTTTTTTTTTTTTTTTTGAGCAGTCCCGGGGCTTGAAATCAGGAGTTGAGCACTGTCCCTAAGTTTCTTTTACTCAAGATTAGCACTCTACCACTTGAGCCACAGCTCTACTTCTGGCATTTTTGGCAGTTAATTGAAGGTAAGAGTCTCATGGATTTTCCTACTCAGGCTGGCTTTGAATCACAATCCTCAGATCTCAGCCTCCTGAGTAACTAGGATTATAAGCATGAGCCACCAGTGCCTGGCTTATGTGGACATTTTGTAAACCAATGTAAAACTGCTCCATTCTTACCTGACATGGGAAATGGAGGGAGAAGCCAATTTATTTGCTCGTTCACTATTTTGAAGTTTTGTCCTTAATTCATTCATTTCTGCATCTTTAAACTGGAGTTCAGACTGCAGGGATTGGAGCTAGAGAGCAAAAGAAACATGTAGTACTGCATCAACACAAACACACAGAAAAAAATCACAGCCAGGCTCCAGAGGCTTACACCTGTATTCCTAACTACTCAGGAGGCTGGAAAGTCTGTGAGACTCATGTCCAATTAACCACCAGAAAACCATACATGGTGTTCTGATTCAAATGGTAGAGCACTACTAGCCTTGAGCAAAAGAGCTCAGGGACAGCACCCAGGCCCTGAGTTCAAACCCCACAACTAAGCTAGGCTTTGATGGCTCATGCCTGTAATCCTAGCTACTCAGGAGGCTGAGATCTGAGGATCATGGTTCAAAGCAAGCTCAGACAGGAAAGTCTATGATACTCATCTCCAATGAACCACTTAGAAAACCGGAAGTGGCACTGTGCCTCAAGTGGTAGAGTACTAGCTTTGAGCTGAAGAGATGAAGGACAGCACCCAGGCCCAGAGTTCAAGCCCCACGACTGACCCAAAGGAAAAAAAAATCTCTTGGCTAAAATTCCAAGCTGATAAAAGAAAAATGATAAAGAATGCATACGAAAGTTTGCTCTGAGATAAATGTCCTAAAATATCAAATGTCACCCATTTTTCCCTGAAAGGCAGCATGGCATTCTAGACAGATATTTGATGCTACCTACTGTAGAGGAGATTTGTGAGGATTTAAATACCAGCCATTTCTTCATCATACTTGGGGATTAAATAGAATAAATATAAAATGTTAAGCACAGAGACTGGCAAGTTGCCACAGGCTCACCAGTAACAAGTTGATCTTTTTTGTTTGTTTGTTTGAGACAGGGTTTTGCTATGTAGGCCAGAGTACTTTAAACTCTTAATTCTTCCTCCTCAGAATCCTAAATAGGATTCTAGGTATAAACCACCACACCTGTGGGTCTTTTAATCAACTTAGTGGTGTACAACTCCATGTTCTGAAAGTATGAGCAGAGGATCTGAAAGCCTTACCCAAACCCTGTGCTGATATATAAAAGAAGACCCAAGCCAGGTGCCAGTGGCTAATACCTGTCATCCTAGCTACTCAGGAGGCTAAGATCTGGAGGATCCCAGTTCAAAGCCAGCCCGGGCAGGAAAGTCCATTAGACTCTGATCTCCAACAAGCTACTCAGAAAAGGCTGGAAGTAGTGCTGTGGCTCAAGTGGTAAATCGCAAGCCTTGAATACAGAGAGACTCAGGGACAGTGCCCAGGCCCTGCGTTCAAGCCTGAGGACTGGCAAAAAAAAAAAGAAGGAAAAAAGAAAAAAAGAAATATGACTATAAGAACAGAAGCGTCATAACTATGGAACCTGTCTATAGCACAGAGAATCAAAATGTGTCCATGGAAGTTCAAGTCATTTAATTTCTAATGCCTTAGAAATAGAAAAAGACGGGGCTGGGAAGGTGGCTCAGTGGTAGAGTGCTTGCCTTGCATGCATGAGGCCCTGGGTTCGATTCCTCAGCATCACATAAGCAGAAAAAGCCAGAAGTGGCGCTGTGGCTCAAGTGGTAGAGAGCTAGCCTTGAGCTGAAGAGCTGAGAGACAGTGCCCAGGCCCAGAG